GGTGGTGACTTCTATCTTTTTCCAGTGCCGTTGGCAAACGTTCAGTCGCCATGGGAATGGCCAGAAGTCAAGGACTAGCTGCAAACAGCCCCATGCTCTGTACGTAGATGCCTGTGGGAAATTTCTGGATCTCTTAGGATGGTTTAACCGCATCGTAATGCCCGGCAATGGATCTCCATCAAAGGAAAGGCAGCCAGGACTGTCCATCTCCCTAGGCCCACCTCAACCCATGACCCACAGAAGCCATCAGAGCCCCACAGGCTGACGACATGCGGTCTCCCGTAACCTCAGAGGTCAACCCCCTGACATTCCCTGGTAACCTTTCCGCAAATGCGCCGAAGGGGGAAACAGAGGCCGGCAGGGCGCCGAGAGAGCTACGGTTACCCGAACCCGATCAAACTTTTACCTGTCGGATCAGGGGGCCTCTCGGGATATTTAAGCCCGTCCTCAATTAGGACTGGGGAAGGGGGGCGGGCTGTCGGCTAGATAGGCGGCCAACTGACCACGGCGATGGAGTGACCAGCTGCCACCGAGGGTGCCTTCTGTAGGCCTCTTTTGGTCTGCTTTCTTCGTGGTGTGGGACGATCCCTGGGGACAGCCCTGGGCGATGGCCTCTCTGCCCTCCATGGCTTGGGTTCCCCGTCCTGCCTCTCCCTCAGGTGGTTCCCAGGATGGAGGAGGGAGAAAAGAATAGCCGCTTTCAAGAGGCCCAGGGACGGCTTCGACAGAAGGGGATGTTAGCCAGGTCCTCCACAAAGCCATCTTGTTAAGGGGTTTTTTTTTCAAAGGAGAATTTTGCCTCCGCCGTAGAACCCTGGAAGCTTCAGGCAAAACGGTCTCCACACATACACACCCTCCCCTCCAAAAGGACTGAATTTCACAAACTGGCTTTGTGAGGGTCCTTCTTCTTTTTTTAAAAAAAATAACTTCTGGGGCAGTTTTTCTTTTCTTTCCCAACCAAATGGAATAGATCTTTTTCGCACATCTTAACAGCATTACGTGGTCCCGGGCAAAAGCAGCGTACCGGGTTCCCCAACGATAACTACTCCCAGGAATAAAAATGCAAATGGTCGATAAAGTTAAAAACTTCTATTTGCATGTTAGTGTTAATTAAAAAAAGGAGGGACGTGGTGGCTCAGTGGCTAAAACGCCGAGCTTGTCGATCAAAAAGATTGGCGGTTCGAATCCCCAGCGCCGCATGACAGAGTGAGCTCCCGTTCCTTGTCCCAGCTTCTGCCAACCTAGCAGTTCGAAAGCACATTAAACAAATGCAAGTAGAAAAATAGGGACCACCTTTTGGTGGGAAGAGAACAGTGTTCTGTGCACCTTCGGTGGGTAATCGTGCTGGCCACGTGACCACGGAGACATCTTCAGACAACGCTGACTCTTCAGCTTTGTAATGGAGATGAGCACCACCAGCCCTAAAGCTGGAAACGACTAGCATGGGTATGCAAGGAGGGGAAACCTTTACCTTTACCTATTCATTTAAAAAAACACAGTCAAATGCAATAAATACGTTGCTGTATTTATAGGGTACAAGGTGCATGGAAGGATTAACCTACACAGATTAGTATGGGGCCCCTATGCTCGCGTTGCCCAGGGGCAAGTGGCCATCAGGCCCGTGCGTTAAGACAGCCTGACCAGAGTTTCAGGCTAAAGTACCCAAAGGGCCTCTCTTGGGTGGGGAGGGGAGGGAACCTAGAGGTCATCCATCCCAACCCCGGGTTGTACAGCAGCGGGAAAGCTAAGGCAGGAACGAGGTTAAGATGGACTCAGAGAAGCGACAGCAGCACTCGGAGAAGGGAAGAAATCTTTGAAAGAAACCCAAGCATTTGATTTGGGATCGTTTTAAGACATGGCAAGGAGAAACTCCGAACGGCTTTCAAGATGAGAAGTCCTCAGTTTAGGCCCACCATTTCCATCGTGGTCGTTCAGCTAGTCGCACCTTATCCCTGACCTTTTTTTTTTTTTGGCCACGGTTGTTAAGCAAATCACTGCAGCTGCTAAGCAAATCAGGAGTCATTCTCCCTCCCCTGGGAAGCCCCCTTTTTTCTCAGTTACCATCTCCACTCTGAACGGTCACTAAATGAACCATTGCACGTTGAGGATTGTCTGTAATGTTGCCCAATGAATCACGGAGGGCTCAGCTTGTAGAATCTCAGCTGGCCTTCCGGGGAACAAAAATGAAACCTTGGTGCAGGGAGGGAAATGTTCAAGCAAGCTTTTAACAGGCCACAGACTGGAGGCAAGAAACTTAAGAGAGTTTTTTCCCCAAAGGAGAAAGAATTTAGAACAACAGAGTTGGAAGGGACCTTGGAGGTCTTCTAGTCCAACCCCCTGCTTAGGCAGGGAACCCTACACCACTTTCAGACAAATGGTTGCCCAATCTTTTCTTAAAAACCTCCAGTGTTGGAGCATCCACAACCTCTGGAGGGAAGTTGTTCCCCTGATTAATTGTTCTCACGGTCAGGAAATTCCTCCTGAGTTCTAAGTTGCTTCTCTCCTTGATTAGTTTCCACCCGTTGCTTCTTGTCCCGCCTCTCAGGGGCTTTGGAGAATGGCTTGACTCCCTCTTCTTTGGGGAAGCCCCTGAGTTTGGTTCCCCCACCCACCCACCCACCCACCCGTGATGGACGGCCACCGTCATTGTCTTGGAAGATGCTGCATGAAGCCCACCTGTGGAGATCTTCTGCAGCTGGGGAAGATTAGCCTCTTCCACCAGACCAAAGCCATTAACTTCTTCCAATATGCTATCACTTCCGCTAGCAAAGCTGGAAGATGAGTTATCGATTGGAAATGACCCTGGCAAAGCCCCCCCCACTCCCTTTGTTTCTCCGCAGCCTGAGAAGAGTGCAGATGAGCCCAAGGCCAGAAGCCAACGGTCTCCAAACTTGCACCAGGACCCTCCTTGGCTTTAGGCCACCCTGCGGTGTGGCGCAGGAGGAAATCTGGACAGTCGCATGAGACGCTTGAAAGCTAAATATATGTCATTCTCTACACAGTTTCCCTCTTGCCTTAAAATATTCGCAGAGTCCTCAAGGGCCCGAGAATCGGTGCCTCCATTCAATAATTGACAGTCGAGCTGAGCCTAAGTGAATCGACTTAGCAAACTTCCTCAAAGCCCCCCCCCCCCCAAGTAAGTTGCCACATATCAAAGGATTAGGTCTGGGTAACTCATTTGGGGGTTTGAGGAAGTTTCCTTAGATGATGATCGTGATTATGACTATTGGTTACTTTTATAAATAACTCAAGGCAGTGAACATACTTAATATTCTTTCCTCCTGCTATTTTCCCCACAACAACCCTTTGAAGTGGGTTGGAATGAGAGAGAGAGAGGGAGGGAGGGAGAGACCCAAAGACACTCAGGTGGCTTTCAATTCACTGTCTCCTGGGGATTGGAGAGTAGTGCAGCTTATCTAAGGCAGGACTAGAACTCAATGCCACCCAGTGATTGGCCCAAAGTCACCCAGCCAGGTCCTGCTTTCAGGTACTTTAACAGATAATCAGAGTTGGAAGGGACCTTGTAGGTCATCTAGTTCAAACCCCCCCCCCCACCGCCCAAGCAGGAGACCCTACACCATTTCTGACAAATGGCAGTCCAATCTCTTCTTGAAAGTCTCAAGCGATGAAGCTCCCACAACTTCCGAGGGCAACTTCTGTTCCATGGGTTGATTGTTCTCCCTGTCAGAAAGTTTCTTCTTATTTCCAGGTTGAATCTCTCCTTGGTCACTTTCCATCCATTATTCCTCATCTGGCCTTTGGGTGCTTTAGAAAATAGCTTGACCCCTTCCTCCTCTCTGTGGCAGCCCCTCAAATATTGGAAGACTGCTCTCCTGTCTCCCCCGGTCCTTCTCTTCCCTAGACTAGCCATGCCCAATTCCTACAACCGTTCTTCATGTGTTTTACTTTGGAAAATAGGTTCTCTTCTTCTCTGTGACAACCCCTCAAATATTGGAAGACGATATACAGAATAACAGAATTGGAAGGGGCCTTGGAGGTCTCCTAGTCCATCTCCAATGGGTTTTGCTCGCCGCTCTCAAATACAAAATGCAGAACTGGATTAACGTAAACTGGAAGGAAATAGAATCAAAAGATGATGGCCAGCGAACTTAATAAATAAAATAAGTTGGCATCCAACCGAAACTCTCTGAAATGAGATTTAAGTTGGCCTTCCCATCCAGTGTCTTTCATCCTACCAAGCCACGCAGGATAGATAGATAGATAGATAGATAGATAGATAGATAGATAGATAGATAGATAGATAGATAGATAGATGATAGATAGATAGATAGATAGATAGATAGATAGATAGAGATAGATAGATAGATAGATGATAGATAGATAGATAGATAGATAGATAGATAGATGATAGATAGATAGATAGATAGATAGATAGATAGATAGATAGATGTTTTTTTTTCCTCTCTGTTTTTCTCCTGGACCATTTTTTTAAAAATAGCATTGGACAGCAAGCATTTTAACATTTCTTCAAGCAGCATTTCCATCCTTTTTATCCTCTTTACCTTGAATCATATTTTCAGCACTTAATCCACAGGGGAGGTCAAAAGCACTGCAGCAAAATATCAACAACCACGACAACAAAAATCGGATAAAAGGATTTGAAAAAAAAAATTTTTAAAAAAAGAAACGCAGACTGGGAGAAACTCCACCAGACTTCATAGCAATTAAGCCAAAGACAAAGCAAGGCCTCCTAATGGTTGGTGATTAAATAGAAAATGCAATTTTCCCCCCTTTGCTAAGCTCTTACAGGTAGAAAAAAGGCTCCATTTGGGTGAAATCCAACCACGGCGGTATTGTGTATTTTTTTTTCTTTGCACACACACACACACACACACACAATTGCCAATTCTGAGCAAAATATAGGGTGTTCTTCAGGTGCCCCAGGAATTTAACAATGGGTGGCGGGTGAGAAGAGAAAACTGCCGCAAACCAAGTGAAGAACGGAGATTACAAAGGGTGCCACTCGTTAGAACTGTGAAACAATGACGGAAAGATTTTAATAATAAGGTCTTGGTTTTGTAGGAAGACGCTCCTGCTTTTCGGCATCTCTGGCAATTGAGAAGCGTAACAAAACACGGCTCGGGAAGGTGGATAACATTACCAGTTGTGGCCCGGATGGTGAGAGCGGGGATGAAATTAGCAGGATGAGCTTTTGGGGCCTCTTGATTGCCATTAATTCTGAGCCTGGCTGACCTTGTTGAAAAGGCGATGATATTCTTTCAGCCTGTATGTCAACCGAGGGGAGAGGGAGGGAGGGAGGGAGAGAAAAGAAAAGGAGAGAAATAGAATTATGAATTTACATGTAAACGGCAGGAAGATTTGAGGCAATTATGTGACGTTCAAATGACAATAAACACAAGGTGCATTTGTTAAGAGGGATTTTGTTCCTGTGTTTTTTTTTTTGTCTTTGACTCCCGGCTGCTAAACACACAATTGTTTTGTATCTGTCGGCCTTTCCTGCCTGTCTGTCCATCCGTCCGTCCATCCATTCTATATCTATCTGTTCATCCATTTATTCATCCATTCTCTATCAATCTATTCATTCTGCATATCTATCTATCTATCTATCTATCTATCTATCTATCTATCTATCTATCTATCTATCATCTCTCTCTCTCCATACCTACTTATTTACTTATCTATCTATCTATCTATCTATCTATCTATCTATCTATCTATCTATCTATCTATCATCTATCTATTATCTATCTATCTATCTATCTATCTATCTATCTATCTATCTATCTATCTATCAATGTATCTACTTACCTACCTACCTACCTACCTATCTTCCATTCAATATTAACCCCATCTCTTTCTCTCTCTTTCTCATCGATCGTATGTCTATATATTCATTTATCTTTTTATCTATCCATCCAACTTATATGTATCTGTCAATCCATCTATTCTATATATGGTAAATATACCAATCAATCCAGCTATGTATCCATTCTATGGCTAGCAATCTGTCTGTCTGTCTATCTTCTATCTGTTCTATTTCTATCCATCCATCCATTCTGTGGCTAGCCATCAATCCATCTATCTCACTCTTTCTATCCTATCCTATCCTATCACTCCATCCACCCAACTATCCCTCCCTCCCTCCCTCTCTAATCTCTCTCCCTCTACTCTCCATCACATTAGCATCCAGGACAAAGAGATTGTCCAGGCTCTTCTTAAAGGCCTCCAGTGATGGAGCACCCACAATTTCTAGTGACAAGCTGTTCCACTGATTAATTAGCAGATGGGAGTCAGTGTTTAGAGTGAATACAAACCTAAGAGAATTGATGTTGATGAATCCGGTAGCATCCGAGGGCTCATAACTCCCTTGGACATCCATGCTGAATGAAAAAAAGAGAAAGGACCAGTCAGAACTGCAATGTCAGGTTTAGAAAGAGACCACGATTTAACTCCAGAGACCTCTGCGTAGTATCTTAAGCCAAGGTTAGGGCAGAAGTAGGAAAACCTCCATACATGCTAGAGTATGGTTAGTTCCCAATTGAGAATCACAGCTGAGAAAACAATTTCCACTGCTAAAGAAGGCAGTTGTTTAAGTAGCCTCCCCCTCCACTTTGGCACGGTTGTTAAGCAAGTCACTGCGATTGTTAAGTGAACCACACAATCATTAAGAGAATTCAGCTCCCGGCATCGAATTGGCTTGTTGGAAGCTAACCAGGATGGTTGCAAATTGTGGTCACGTAACCCAAGGATGCTACAACCATTGGGAACACATGCCAGCTACCACATGCCTGAATTTTGCTCGTGTGACCCCACGACACTGAGACCGTCATAAGTGTGAAGAAAGGTTTAAATCACGTTTTTCCCCCTGCAGTGCTGTTGTAGCTTTGAATGGTGGCTGAACTTAATGACTGTTAAGTCAAGGATTATCTGTCATTGGTTTGGCATAACATAACTCCCCCAGTCTGTTCTTGTCATTCTCCTGTTGGAATCTGATCCTGAGGGGGAGGTTGAGCAGCTGACAGGGAGTGGGAGTGTGGCTACAGTGGTTGTGGAGGAAACTGGGGAAGGGCACAGTTCGGCTGGGCATTCAGAGGAAGACCCAGGCCCACCCCATTTTCATCCTAGGGCATGCAGGGAGGAATGGATAAGGGAGCAACGTGGGTTACAGGGGAAGAAAGGGCCTTGATCCCCGTCATGGATTGCAGCTGGGAGGACTGTTTAAAAGGGCAAACTGTGCATGGCAAAGTTTCTGGAAGCAAAGCGTGAATTATTTTGGTTTGTCAAGTCCTATCTGGGTGCTGGTGTCCTCCCAACTGTGTGTGTTTCATTATCTTTTGAAGTCTGCAATTCCTTATCCTGCCCTGTCTCGTTAATTGATGCAGCGTGGTTTGTGTTGGTTTTTATTTATAATTTATATGTACTTTGGGTTCAGACTGAATTTCTTTCCTTTAAATACTGTTCTTGGGAGAGTTTTTTCTCCAGTCAATGATAACTGGACATTGGGGGGGCCAAGTTGGAGGTATTAAAGGGACTTTACCTACTTTCGTGACTTTGTTGTTTTTGTACCACGCCCCTTTGGGTCATCACAGTTCTTAGCCTCCTTTGCCAGTTTGCAGAATTTGGCTTTAACCAGGTTTAGGGCTGACCTGGAAATTTTCTCCCAGCTTTGTGGAATCTGCCTGTCTCAATGACTTTGCTCGCCTGACCCTAGGATACCACAACCATCACAAAAATGAGTCGGATGCCAAGCCGTCCGAAATTAAATCACGTATCCGTGAGAATGCTGCAACAGTCGTAAGGATGAAAAATGGCCATAAGTCACTTTTTTTGATTTTTCAGGGCCGTTGCCACTTGGGACGGTCTCTGTCGTACATTGAGGACTACCTGAATTAGGCAAGGAAGTCTAAACATTCAGAAATTGGATTTGGAGATGGTCAACCCTGGACGGTCAACGCCTCCCTGCCAAGAAAGAGTCCCGATGCCTTGACAAAGCCGCCTGTGTTCCCCTCCCATCAAAGGCTCTCAACCTTCACCCGTGTAGAATTCACTCCTGGCACACAATCACCTAATTTAAAAGTGATGTCTTTCGACAACCTTTGACTTGAAAACGTTAGCCGCAGACAGGCCCCCTTTGTTGAGTGAAGCGACTGGCCCATTAATTATGGGGCAATAAAAACAGGCCGTATAATGTGCAATGCGCCCAAGGTCTCTTACAAGCATGTCACCTCTTTCTTTTCTCCTTCCTCTGATTTCACTCCCAAACTCTCCCCCCCCCTCCCTGGTTCAATTCTCCCTCCCCCCCCCCATTTTTCAAAGGACCAGAGCGCCAATGGGGTTGACTTGGCGAAAGAGAGGTTGTCTCCGACCCTTAGCTCCCTCCTGTAGCAGATGTCCACGTTCTATCTAACCAATTGGTGATCTCTAAGGATGGGCACTTTTCAAAGAATGACAAGAGTTGGAAGGGATCTCGAAGGTCTTCTAGTCCAACCCCCTGCTCAAGTCAGCTGGATGACTTTGAGCCAATCACTAGAAGACGGAGAGTTCTAGTCCCACCTTAGGCATGAAAGCCGGCTAGTCCCACCTTAGGCATGAAAGCCAACTGGGTGATTTGGGGCCAATCACCAGGAGATGGTGAGTTCTAGTTTCACCTTAGGCATGAAAGCCAGCTGGGTGACTGTGAGCCAATCACTAGAAGATGGTGAGTTCTAGTTCCACCTTAAGCATGAAAGCCTAGCTGGGTGACTTTGAGCCAATCACTAGAGACGGAGAGTTCTAGTCCCACATTATGCATGAAAGCCGGCTAGTTCTACCTTAGGCATGAAAGCCAACTGGATGACTTTGGGCCAATCACCAGGAGATGGTGAGTTCTAGTTTCACCTTAGGCATGAAAGCCAACTGGGTAATTTTGGGCCAATCACCAGGAGATGGAGAGTTCTAGTCCCATCTTATGCATGAAAGCCGGCTAGTTCCACCTTAGGTATGAAAGTCAATTGGATGACTTTGGGCCAATCACCAGGAGACAGAGAGTTCTAGTTCCACCTTAGGCATGAAAGCCAACTGGGTGACTTTGGGCCAATCACCAAGAAACAGAGTCGCTGTTTGCAAACAGGAAGACGACCGAATAAACCCCTGCCTTGCAAAATTCGGAGGTGCCCTTCGCACAGCCAATGCTCACTGGTTAGGCTCAATTCAGCAAAGCATCCAGAACTCCCACATGCTAGTTCAACCCCAAATCGGATTGCAAACCAGATTCAACTTCTCATCCAGAAAGTAAATTCAAAATGAAACAGAACCGTCCTCCTTTCCTGCAAACTGCAACCCTCATTTTTTATTTTTTTTTAAAGGGGAGAAGAAGAAAAAATTAAAAAGAGAGAGACAGTTTACAATGACTTTACCTCCCCTGAAGGGCTATAGAAAAACCTCCGAGCTTTTATTTTTGCTCATCGGAGTGGTACTGACCTGCTCTGTAATTATGTTACTTTCTACCCACTGTGCTGAGACATTTTTCCCGTGTTACATCTCTTGTGGCAGCCGCTTCAGTTCCCGTGATGCCGTCACTCAAATGCTTTTCAACCCAACGATGTAGAAATCAGGAAGAAAAGAAAAATGGCTCGCGACACAGTGAGAATAAATGTCCCTGGTTTTTTTTTTTTTTTCCCCCCTCTCTCTCTCTCCCTTTTCCTTTGCACGCTTTCTTCCTTCTCCCCACCCTGTTCTCTCTCTCTCTCTCTCTTTTTAACGTTATTCATTTAATTTCGCTGCGTGAGAATGCAAACGATAATGAAAGGTTGAGATGGAATTATTAGAAACTGCTGATTTGAAGGGGGAGGAAAGTAAGATCCAGAGGAGAAAGGCATAATTTGACATTTACTCTGACTGATCTAAACTGATTTGGGTATATTTATGGTTTATAAAGCATTTCGAAGGATTGAAAGGGGAAAACGAAGAGACAGAAATAAGAAAGAGAAGCAGACAGGAGTGTGTGTGTGTGTGTGTGTGTGTGTGTGTATGTGTGTGTATATATATATATATATGTATATAGTATTCAGCTTTGTTCGGGTATTTTCCCATGTCATTATAGTTGTGCTTTTAAAGTTGTAGCAACGTTTCAGCAGAATTTCATCTGCCATCATCAGGCTTCTGTATTCTGTATTCAGCCTGAAAGCTTAATGATGAAAGCTTAATGATGAAAAATACTTTTCAACTTTAAACAAGACCTTTGCTTAATTGTGTGGGGGTTTTCTTTTCCATGCCCCTTAAAAATCAGTAAAGATGACAAAACGGAAGAAAAAGCCAAAGTTAAAAACAAAAAAACGTTGAGGTGAAAATTTTTCAGTTTTAAAATCTCGGGGGGATTTTAAACCACAGATGTGTAGAAATCTCAGGGCAACTTTTTAAAAAAATACTTCATTGTTCAACATAGATTTAAGCCATGGAAGTCTCTCTTTCACATGCCATGGTCCAATTCAACAGGGATTCTTGGATATCCTTAAAAGACAACTCTTAAGTTGCGTCCAGTGTAATTAGGGAGAAAAATAATTTTATTAGAAGGTTTTATCCTGCAGCGCAGATTTGGGTTAGGGTCAATTGAATTCAAGGAGGGCTGGGCTCTTTTGTGGCTGCACCACGATTCCACACTAATGGCACATTTAACGCCACCCTCCACTTCAGTTCAACTCCTACGGATGACTTGTTGACATAGAGTTCTCCAGAAGCGTTATCAATCTAGGAATTATACTTAAGGGACTTACCTTACGAGTTCCTCATTGTACAGGGATTGGCGCGATTCCCTTCCCAAAATGTAGACGTTACCCTTCAAGACAGAGAGCTGGACTTTTCCTTCCACTAGGTCTTGGGAATGGTCGATGCAATGGCGGATGAATTCGCCCTCGGGACTGAACCAGAAGCCTACCATAAAGACAAAGATTGCTCTGAGCAGTAGCTTGAGGTTTCAGAAGGCCAGTCTTCATTAGCTGTAGGACTCCAACTCAAACAGAGAGCACACAATCCTTTACAGGTAGTCCTTGACTTACAGCCATTTGTTTAATGGCGATTCCAAGTTCACCAGGGCACTGAAAAGGACCAAAACAGCCTCCTTAGGGTCACATGATGGTGACTTGGGGGCTTGGCAACCACCTTGCATTTATGATGGTTGCAGGATCCTGATCTCCCCTGATCTTTCCAGCCAGAGTCCAACCTGTACAATCAATGAGGGGAGCTGGATTCACTTAATGATGGCAGGTGAAAAAGGACGTAAAGTCGGGTCTGGTCACGTGACAACTTGCTTAACCGTCACATCTCTGGACTGCCCCTGAAATTCCAGTCTTGATTGTCAGTCCAGGACTATCTGTAGGTAGCTACTCAACAGTTAAGTCCTGTCCTCCAGAGTCTAAAGTAGTGGGTTCAAATTACAAGGGGAAATTTGGATTCACTTAAGAACCATGCAATATGCTTCTGCCATGATTCGCTTAATAACCATGGCAAAAACGGTCGTAAAAGTGGGTGCAACTCACTTTAGCGCCCACTTTGCTTAGTGACAGAAACACCGGTCGCAATTCTGGCCGTATGTTGAGGACTACCTGCACAAGGTTCCAAGGGGGAAAAAGAAATCAAAACTACCAGTCCTATACATGTAAATCTCTGACTTGCCATCACTCGTTTAGTGACCGTTCAAAGTTACAACGGCACTGAAAAAAAGAGATCATTTTTCACACTCACGATCATTGGAACAACCCCATCGTCACTTCATTTACATTCCGATGCTTGCCAACTGACTCATATTTATGACGATTTCAGCGTCCTGGGAGTCATGTGGTCCCCTTTTGATGACCTTCTGCCCAGCGAAGCCCAATGGTGGAAGCCAGATTCACTTAGCAACGGGGCCAAAAGAGAGCGTAAAAACGGGGGGCAAAAGCTCCCCGAACCACTGTCTCGCTCAGCATTGGTCTCCACCGTGGCCATAATTTGAGGCCCGCATGCAGCTCTTCCGTTCTATTGGTCCTCTTTCCCAGGACCTCATCTCAAGGCTGCCACCCCTCCAAAGCCAGGAGCATTATTATAACCATCGTTATTATTACACATGTAACATTACCAAAGGCCATCTGGAGGGGACCATGTGAGACCCAGGTGGCCCAAGAGCAAACGAGACCCTTTCAGGTGAGCCTCACCTGGATTATTAGAAAGATTACACGATGCAAAGGTAGAACAGGATGGCCATTTCTAATCCCCAGGAGGAAGAAGAGGAACGGAGAGGTATGTGTGTGAGAAGCCAGCCCTTTCAAAGGAGAGCTAGGGTACGCAGGGGCCCCTCCGTCCCCTCCCCATTCTTCCCCCAGTAATTAAGAAGCTAAATTAGAAACAGTGGCACTTTTCTGCTTCCAACTGGCCTTCCTCTTGTTTGGTTCCTCTAAGGTAGGCACGAGCCCCTATCACCCTGGGACATCTGTACCCATATGGTGGGGAACCTCCCCTTCCTCTCTGGGTCCCTTTCAGTTCTCAAGTAACCTTGCCCCCCCTCGCCCATTCAATAAACCCCCCCCATGATCTCAATTTCCACCGAACCACATAGGCCAAGCTTTGTTGCTTCGGCTGTGAGAGGACAATGGAGGTCAGATACCCTACTACGCCAATCCTCGATCCTCCTCGGGTTTCATCCTTGTTCTTGGGAGATCTGGAGGATGGATAAGCCAGGGACTTAATTGCTTCCTCTAGAGGGAAGGGGTCTTCCCATCCTCGGGGCCAAGGAACCCGTTAGGAATCTTGAAAGCCTCTTGTGGAAGCTGTCACCAAGGTACTTCGACTTCTACGGTGGGTTTTTTTTTTTTTTAACACCAAGCCAAGTGGATACACCAAGTTTTGAAGGCATCGCACGTCAAGCAAGAAACCCATCATAAGTTGTCATGCTTTAGAAAGCCAGTTTGGTCCAACCAAAATGGGAAGACCAGGAGTGCTGGCTGGGGAACTCTGGGAGTTGAAGTCCACCAGTCCAAAATTGGACACCCTTGATTTGGAACGTGTGATTAGCTTGAATGGGATGGAACAGAAACTGTATTTCTCACCGTTAGGAATCGGCGTTGGCCATCACAAGGATGGGAAGTTGAAATCCATTTGGATGGGGTTCTACCAAAGCCTTCCAGATCTTAATCCCGACTCTTCAACCTTTGAATCTGTAATTCTGTATATTCTGCTGCTTACGCTGGGTTCATTTGGGATGGAAATGTGTCTGTTTTGCATTTCCTACCCAATTTTTTTTGGCACAAAAAAAAGAGAGTAGAACTTGTTTTTCCATTCAGAGAAGGGACCCTGCCTTGGCTAAGTCCAATATTTATGGAGATGTTTGCAAATGGGTGTCTCGGAATTGTCAAATGACCCATTTGTTAAGGAGCAGTTGAGATCTACTTTGCTTCCATTTTCCTATTTGCCCTCTTCGAAATGTTCTCTCTAGTCAACGGGATCCAACTCATGCTAGACTGATTTTGTAGATGGTGACTGAAGCAAAGTGATTATATGCACCAGGATGGAAGAATAATGAAATAGCCACAGTGGAGGGCTGGACTGTGAAAATGTCAAATTTGCAGAAATGGCAAAACTGACGTGCTTGGTGTGAAGAAACACACACACACACACACACACACACACACACACACACACACACACACA